GGAGCACCGTCATCACATGTCAGCTCCGGTGAGAAGTGGGAGGAAGGCGTGATGGGCAGTAATGCTCACCTGGTAGCTCCTGTCCGCCTCTGCAGGGACTTCCTTCGAGGCTCGTCCGTGAGGTTCCCTTCACTCGTCATTGGTCACCCCTGGGGACGTGGGGAGGGTGAAGGGGCACCGCCTTGTGCACTCGTCCCAGCAGAAGCTTGCCCAGGTCTACCCTTGTGTACTGTGCCCGCTGTCCTGTGCGCCCCTTGACCCTGCACCCTCCGCAGCCCCTATTCATAGCGGTTCCCAGGGGCCTGGCCTCTGGGTCAGCTTTGCCCAGTTAAAGCTGGGGTTCCTTTGGAAGGTGGGGGCTGCTACTTTAGTTGTTAGCTCCCCCTCTCTCAGGAACACCGTTAGGAGACCTTGTTTCCATTTGCGGTAGCAGAGACAGCACACGCTCCTTAGAACAGCTAAGGGTACGGCTTTGCTAAGACCCCCGGGGGTGGGCCTGCAGTCTTTACCCCTGTGCCCAGATGAAACCAGCTCAGTATTTCAGGAGAGCAGCCCTGGAGAATAAAGGGCAGGGAGGGCCGGAGCTTTGCTTTCTCTCACTCTCAGGCGGTGCACTCGGGCTCTGACGTGTCCCGTCCTGCCCACCGTGGGGCGTGTGCTGGGCGCTGGGAGCGGCGTGACCTCGACTGGCCCCGAGCTGGAGGTCCACGTCCTTTGCAAATGCTTTCTCAATCTCTGTCAACTGTGATCACTTCCTGGGCCCTCTCAGGGTTTCAGTTCTTTGGGGAAACAGGCTGGGCTCCACGTGCGGTTCTCAGGTGGCCAGGGTGGCAGGAGAATCCCACGGCCTCTGATATGGGGAGGGAGGAGCTGTTCTCTACAGTGGACATGATCTTGGCCTCTGACTGTCTTTCAATCAGATTAGTGTTAGCAGGCAGACACCGATCACTGCACAGACCACTCCAGCCCCCCACGCAGTGCCACCTGGACCCATGGCAGCCTGGCCCAGGACACCAGAGACGGCCGGCCCTGCAGGTGGCCTGTCTGCAGCCCCCGGACAGCGGGCGGGGCTGGCTCAGATGGTTTGTTTTCACAGGAGCCTCTTTGATCACTGTGGTGAGGATTCGAGCAGTTCGAGCAGCAGCTCCGCACTCTGACCGGGACAGCGCTCTTCTTGCACACCAAGCGTTCTTGGTTCTCCCCCGATTGATTCTCCCAGCACAGCAAAGACATGCTCTCCACATCCTTGCAGTGAAGCTGGCATCAGAGAAGCCTGAGAGTGTCTCTGTGGGAAGAGGCACAGGGCCTCACCCTGCATTGCGCCCGTGGGGAATTCTCGTGCCTCACGCCCGCACCCCGTCCATGTGCGTCTGCCTCCTGAGGGACAGGAGGTGGCGTGGGCACGCGTGTGCGGAGTGTGCAGGGAACAGGCCAGGGTGGTGACCTCACCCTCAGTAGCTCGCAGTGTGGTCGGGACGACAGAGCCTGCCCACGAGGAGCCCTGAGCTCCGTGCGGGAATGCACCCAGGCAATCGGGGAAGGCTCCCTAGAGAGGAAGAGCTGAGCTTGAACGTCAGTCCTCTGGGACAGGGCTGTGGCTTGTGCTTGGCGACAGGCGCCTAGTGAACAGTGGTGATCCTGTGGCTGGACCACGTTGTAAGATCTGTGTAGGTTAAGCCACTCAGGCTTTTTAAAGTAGAGCAGAAAGACAAAAGAGAACTGGATATGCTTACCACATGCAAGCTCGGCGCTGTCCCTCGTCAGCCGTGCGGAGCAAGTGTGTTTCTGTGACCCGTCTGGGAGCCCAGTCTGTCCCCAGTCTGTCCTCTGCACATCAGCCTCGTGTAGGGAGCCCTCTGAGGGCTGCTCAGCTGGCCTTGAACTTGAGAAGCTGGGACACCTCCCTGGCAGTTCTGCCCTCGAGCTCCTGCTGCAGCCTCCAGGACAGCTTTGGTTTTTCGGGCAAATCTGTGTTTGCTTTCCCAGAGGTGGCAGACTTTCTACCCCACTTGGTTTTCCAAACAACAACACTTGGAAGCTCAACTGACAAGTTCTATAAGCTTGTAAATCTGGGCTGTTTGAAATCTGCTGTGTCCCCACAAAGGGATGAATGTCCCTAGGAAGACGGTCTGGGGGCCCCTGTTGTCCCTGACCCTGCGTTGCCTGCAGCTCTGCGGGACTCTGTCCATCCAGGCCCTAGGTGGGCTTCTCTGTTAGTACGATAGACTTCATGTGGAAAGGGACCACGGGCCCTCCCTGGACGCTCTCCTGTGTGGGTCCCTTGCTGTCAGGCTCTGCGTCTGAGCTCTAACCACTGGGCAGCTCTGGCCAGGGCCAAACATTTTTCAGAACCATTTCCTGAACAGCCTGATTTTCCTGTGGAGTGTCCCAGACCCACTGCCACTGGCGCCCATGCCGTCCCTTCAGGCCTGCCGTCACAGAACTGCTTGGGGCCCAGGCCACCCAGGAAAGCCGCAGGAGCCGAGAACACGCTGCTGGAGGATGGCGGGGACAGAGGCGGGACGGCTCCTGCTGGCCACTGCCAGCCCTTCCTCAGCCTGATCAGCCTGCTGCCACGTCCCACCCCTCAGGCTGGCCCTGTGCTCCCCGGGGCTTTCTCCCTCCCCTCGAGCTGGACCACACGACAGAGCTGGGCCAGATTTAACATGTTCCGAGGTTTTTAAGACTCATCACACCTCACAAACTGTAACAGCTTTTCTTTCTCCCCAAGAGTTTTCCATGTCTTAAAGGACATGATAACAAAATTTAAAGAACATTTTGGAGAAAAGAGAAGTCTCGGTAATATCCTCTTACCCTGGGGCTGTTTTAGGTGGACGCACGCCCTCGGCCACCTGCTGTGTGCCAGGCCTGTGCTCTGCCTGCTGTCACCGCAGCTGGGGGCTGGGCTGCGTGGCTCTGGTTGGCCGGGGAGGTGCCTTAGATTCAGGACCTTGCCCAGGTCCCCGCAGCCCATTCCCAAACCCCTTCTGTCTGTCTCAGGTCCGCGCCTTTAGCTGGGCCGGCACCCTTTGCTCTCTGCGGGTTTCACGTGCCGGGCTGGCGCTTTTCCACCTGCCTCCGCGGGCCGGCTTCAGTGAGCGCTCAGCGCGCTAAGTGCTGTGCATCCATCTAATGTCGCTGTTGGGCTGTTTCACCAAAGACGCACAGGAACCCCGTGCAGCGTCCTGGTGAGGAGGGTGGGGTGGTGCGGCGGGTTTGCCCAGAGAAGCGGTGCGGAGAAGAGTCCTTCAAGCAGCCACTTGAGTGTCCTCCCCTGGAGTGTGGCCTGCGCACCACAGCTCCCCCGGCCGACCCCAGGGACGTGTTAGGGTTCAGGTCTGGCTTTTAGAGCAAAGCTCAGGATAACCAGGTGGTTGATTTTGCATTTTTTCTTTATATGATGGAGACTTAGTGGGCTTTGTGGCTCCCTGACAACCTCCTGGTTGGCAGGACAGGCGGTGGGTCCCAAAGCAAGGACAAGGAGGGACCTGACGGTCACCTGGGCTCAGACTGGTCCAGCAGTGAGTCAGCCTGGGAGCTTCGACCTGGTGTGACGGGGCCCTCCTGGGGACCAAGGCTTTGGCCCTGCTTCCCCAAGCTTTTGGGAAGCAACAAGAGGAGGGACCCGTGCGGCAGCTTTAGGGCGGAATGTTCCTTAGACGCAGCTGTGTTGAGCTATAAGACTTCACAACTGACCCATTTACATTGTTCAGATCAGCGGTTTTTAGCATATTCACAATGTGCAACCATCACCACATGCGACTTGAGGACCTATGTCACCCCAGGAAGAAACCCCACGCCCAGTGGCAGTCACTTCCACCCCCAACCCGGCCCCCAGCCCAGCGCAGCCACCCCACTGCCTGCTGTCTCTAAGTCAGGGCCAGTCTTCTGTCGTGATCTGAAGGGACCAGCCTGCCAACGTCCCGCTGGCTTGTTGGGAGGCTCTCTGCTGCTGGGTGAGATCTCCAGCCTGCCGGTGGTTGGGTTGAGGGAGACGTGGCGTACCTTCGGGAGAACAGCTTTAAATGCAAAACATGCTCATTAAACCCCAGCGAGGCCCTGAACCAGAATGGAAGTATCACAGGGAGAGTGCTTGGCAGACCCCACAGGCACCCGGAGAGACAGCTGCTTAAAACTGAGCGGCTTCCTGGTGTTTTCTCCTACCAGGTAGGAGATCTTCTGCCTCGGGGTAGTTTTGGAAGAGGGAGTCAGGAGATGCTTTTGAAATAGCTATTGCAGTCAGTAATGGGAAAATGTTTATGGTTAAACTGTAATTGGAAACTTACTATCACAGTAGGAAATTGTCTTGCTAATAACATCAGTCATCGGTTGTGGTAGGTTCTGCTGCTGTGACTGAGCCCAGCGCCCGGCCTGGGAAAGCTGCTGTGACTGAGCCCAGCGCCCGGCCTGGGAAAGCTGCTGTGACTGAGCCCAGCGCCCGGCCTGGGAAAGCTGCTGTGACTGAGCCCAGCGCCCGGCCTGGGAAAGCTGCTGTGACTGAGCCCAGCGCCCGGCCTGGGAAAGCTGCTGTGACTGAGCCCAGCGCCCGGCCTGGGAAAGCTGCTGTGACTGAGCCCAGCGCCCGGCCTGGGAAAGCTGCTGTGACTGAGCCCAGCGCCCGGCCTGGGAAAGCTGCTGTGACTGAGCCCAGCGCCCGGCCTGGGAAAGCTGCTGCGACTGAGCCCTGCTGCCACCCCCAGTGCTTGTGGCATGTTCATAGGCAGTGCTTCAGCTCTGTTCACACACCATCGGCTTCATGTCGGCTCCGTCTTTAAAATCACTGCATTCTCGTGGCTCATGGGGCTCAGCTTCCCAGCGAGTGTTCTCTGGGCAATGAGTCCCTGTGGTATGATAGCAGCGATCATAATGGACAGGAAGTGGCTCTGTCTGTGGGGAACCTCCGTTGGAGATGACATCATAGGTATTTGGGGATATTTCTGTCTCTTCTGTTCACACACAGTCAGAGGAAAGCTGATGTCAGCACTAGGAAGTGTCCCAATGAAAGCATGAGACGTGATGTTAGCACCATGCACACAGTGACCACGAAGTCTAGTTACGTGGTCCCAGGTGCCTCGATGGACCAGGGCTTCCTCCCTGAGTTGTGCTTCCTCTGTGCGTTCCCTTCTGAGCCTAACCTTGCGCTCTCCCCCTGCAGGTGCACCTTCCGCTTCCCCAGCACAGCCATCAAGATCCAGTTCACGGCGCTCTACCACCAGGAGGAGGCGCCCGCCTCGCCGCTGCGGCCACTCTACCCCCAGATCTCCCCTCTGAGGATCCACATTCCGGAGCCGGACCTCCGGAGCCTGGTCAGCCCCATCCCCTCCCCGACCGGCACCATCAGGTGAGCAGCCCTTGGGAGCCTGCACACGGCCGTCTCCTGAACCTGGTCCTTTGCGGAGAGGACGAGCCGAGTCTTGTGCAGCGTTAGCTGCGTTTCTGAGACTGGGTGGACGTTTGGAAGTGTTAGGGACTCCTTACACAGGCCTCTGGAGAATTCTACAGAGTGAGGGGTCCCCACCTGGTTCGTCACTTTGCTGTCTGAAATGTCAGTCTGTTAGGGCCTTTGAATATGTTTGGGGTTTTTTAATTGATTTCAGAGAGAGGGAGGGAGAGGGAGAGACAGGGAGAGACAGGGAGAGAGGGGGAGAGAGAGGGAGAGATAGGAACATCAATGATGAGAGAGTCATTGATCGGCTGCCCCACACACACCCCCACTGGGGATCGAGCCTGCAACCCGGGCATGTGCCCTGACCGGGAACTGAACCGCAGTCTCCTGGATCCTAGGTCAATGCTCAACTGCTGAGCACGTTGGCCAGGCCGTCAGGGCCTTTTAAAGCAAGCACCGGCATTTTTTAGTCATTGAAAATACTTTGAAGTAGTATTTGTAAGCCCTCACACTGTCTCATCCTCAGATGTGACAGCCTTGGGGGCAGTTCCAGAGGGAAGTGTGTCCCCAGGGGTCCCTGTGCAGGAAGCTGAGCTGTCGGCCGTCACAACACTGGCATTATGACAGTGTCACCTTCCGTCCCCGAGGCAGTCCTGCACTGGCTTCCCTTTGTCATAAAGTGAGATGATGTGTATTGCAGGTCAAAGTGTCATACATTTCTAAATCGTTTACTGCTTCACTAAGGACGTTTCAAAACGAAACTGGCTTTCTTTGCCTTCACTGCGCTTGTGTGACCCTGAAGCCACCAGGGCCATGTGTGTATTTGGTGACAGCACCTCAGGAACTGCCTAGCTCCAGACATCTCTGTGGGGCCTATGAGTCCTGGGAACGGTGTCAGCCCGGACTCTCGGGCACCTTTGGGAGCCACAAGTGCAGACCTGATAGCTGGTTTGCTGTCCCTGTGTCACCAGGCACAGGGCCTTCCTCCATTCACAGCCTCACCCAGGCGGCCCATTTCCTCCCTGTTCCAGGTTCATGTCTGAACCACATGCTGGTCATCTGTAGTGATCTGTGTGTTACTTGGGCCTTTGTTTCCACTGTGGTATGTTGGTCACATGGTGGGAATTGCTGGCGGAGTCACTTGGAGTCGGCTCATCCAGAGCCTGTGAGTCAGTGTGTCTTTCTCAGCAGAGAGAGTTCAGGGACAGCACTGAAACGGCCCATAGTTCAAGCCTGAGGCCTGGGTCCCAGTATGGGAGCCTGGGCAGTGGGGACAGTGGGGGCTGGTCCCTGCAGCCTCTCTGGCCTTGGTTTTGTTGTCGACAAAGCCCAAGCTCTGTGCGGCCAGCACCTGTTGTTTCGTCATGACTGCGACAGTGACGAGTGGGAGCTCACTGAGAGCTGCATGTGTGGCCCCATAGACGGTGTTTCTCAGCTCATTCAGGTTTCTAATGACAGCTCTGTTCTAGACCCAGGATTCAGCCCGTGTTCTCGTTGTTTGCCCAGACCTGAGTCTCCTGTAAAACGTGAAGATTCCACTTGAGTCCTGATCAAGTTTTGCTATAAAAATGCTCCTAACTTGCCCACGTGTGTCTAACCTACACACAGGTAAAGGTAGGGCAGTAAAGTGATGCAGCCACTTTGGAACTAACCTGGTGGGTCCTCAGAATGTTAAAGTGTAGCCCGCAGCCCCGCAGGTCACTGATCCTAAGGCCGTGTGAGAGTGCGCACCCGGGGCTCAGCAGCGTCAGTCACAGTGGCCCCAAAGCGGAGACAGCTCAGAGCCCATCGGCTGATGCGTGGATGCGTCAGGCGTGAGCTGTCCTGCCGGCGGAACACGGTTTAGCCCCAGAAGGCTTGGTTAGGGTGGCCGATCCCGAAGGCGGTGGGCTGTGCGAGGGGAGCCTGCACAGAGGTCACACACCACCCCCCGGGCGTGAACAGGCAGGTCTGCAGGGACAGGAAGTAGGCGAGTAGCCACCAGGCTGGTGATGAAGGAGCCACTCTGGCTGTTGCAGCTTCTTTCTGGCGTGACGCGGTGTTCTGGAATTGGACAGTCATGAGGTTGCACAACTCCGTAAGTGCACTCAAACCGCTGACCTGTACACTGGAAAGTATACCTCAGTGAAGCTGTCCACCTGGCAGCGCCCAAAGCCGTTGCAGGGACTGTCACCAGCATGTCACCCACTGCTGAGGCTGTGACGGGCGTGGTGTGCTCCCCACACCCAGGGGAACCCTCAGTGGGCAGTCAGCGTAGACGGGACTGGATTGCTAACAACAAATTTATCACCAGCCAGAAGTACCTGGAAAGCTTCGTAAAATAAATGTATTTCCCAGTCATGTTCCAGATAAAAATAGGAACCACCTGGTTAAGATCCTCAAGCAGAGCTCTGGCGGGAGCTGTTTTGGGGGGGCGGAGGTGGAGGTTCTCGTGGAGGTAAGAGCCCCGTGGGGGCGAGAAGCCCGTTTTACTGAGCAGAGTCAAGCAGGTGTCGCTGGAACCACTGCTCTGAAAGTCCCCCCAGTTTATATTTAACTGGCCCCTGGGGATGGAGTCTGTCAGGGGGCTGCCACTGTCCCCACCCTGCTGGTCCCCACTCTGTCCTTGTACCGAGGGCAGCCCAGAGGGGCTGGCTTCCTGTTTTCATCTGGTGAAACACGTGCAGAGAAAGTGGTGACTCTGGGACAGGCCTTCTCCCTTCTGGGCGGAACTGAGTGTCACGGAAAGGATTTGTGTTGAATCCGTTTATCTTACGCCGCCTTGGAATTGAGCTGAGTGTGTCAGAGACCTTGCAGCCTTGAGGTTTTGCTGCCAAGATCCTTTTCTTCGCAGGGGAGGAGCCCCAGTGTTTACCGACAGCCCTGCCCGCACTGCTCCCTCTCTGGGGTCCTCCCCGGAGGCGGGGGCTGTGCCCCTCTCGGAGGCGGGAGGTGCGGTGGGCCCCCAGGGCTACCGGCCTGGGGGAGGGCCCTGGCACCCAGCAGCGGCCCTTTCCGGGGGCAGCCTGCCTGCGCCCCCTCCCCGCCTGTCTCCTAATTTGGTGTGGCTGCGTCCCGCTCGCCCCATTGGCCGCCCAGTCCCTGCCGGTTGGAGACCTCCGGCTGTTGGTTTCCTCCCTGGAGCCGTTTCCTCTGCACCTTGCCCTGAGCGCCGGCCTTCTCGGGATTTCGGGAGTGGCTGTACCTGCAGGGACGTTCTCCCGTAAGCAGCCCGCCCTGCCCTCCTGACCCAGCCGCCTTCCGCCCGTCCCGCCCTGTGTCGAGTTTTTGATTCCGCTGCTGCCAGGCCAGGGTGTGTGCTGTGTGGTTGGGTTGGTGTTTTTTCTTTTTTTTTTTACCCCGAAGTACTCCACCCAGAAAATGAATGAACTCCCTTTGAAATACATTTTGCTGTCTTAAGCAGTGTTTTGTTGACTTTTTTTTTTTTTTGGTTTTGCAGAGAAGTGGTATTTATAGGGAAGAAGAAATTGGTTAATCATTTTCTGGGTATTGCAAAATCACCAGTCTAAAAAGTGCTTCTTTGAGCTAGTTTTAAGAAAACAGCTACAATTAAACCAGAGAAAAGACCCATCACAGGAAGAGAGTGACTACATTTTACTCCTAAGAGGAAGACTTCAGAAGCTGTTTCTTTAAGAAAACTTTTCTTGGTTTTTCTGGTGTAGAGATAAAAAAAAAAAAAAAAAAAAAAAA